CCACCGTGACCAAACTCCCTTACTTTCAGCAGGAGACCAAGGGGTATTTACCACCCCAACGGGAAGTTGATAGGAGTTGGTGGTGATAGAGAAAACCCTGTCTTTACGTACGCACATTAACATTATATATATATATATATATACACACTGCATATTTATATTGTAATTTTTGATTGCTGAATTGTTCTCTGTAATATTAGCCAATTATTAATTTTTTGAAACAGGCGCTTGGTTTCTTATTTAAAAAAAAAAAATGGTTGTCCCTTTACTTTTTTCTATCGTGTCCACCTATTCAGTTTTAGAAAAAGAAAATGCACGTTCAGTGTTAAATTTGTAGGTGTTCTTTCAAAATAATTATTGAGTATTATTATTTTACTCGTTATAATATACTCGACGTTAACCGTATTTACTTAAAAAAACAAAAAACGTTGTGTGCATACAAAAATTGTTTTTCACGTCTTGTTTCAAATCTGTGGAAAATCTATTTTGTTATGTAAGTCAATAAAAAGTTTTAATTTAATTGTTATCTAGTCTAGTCTATACACCTCTTTATTATACCCTCTAAACATTTATTTGCAGGTCAAACTTTCTAACTTCACTAAAATCAGATTATTGTGCAGGATGCTGGAAAATAACCTAAAAGCGGTATACAATTATTAATTCGGTATACTTTATGTAATCGGAAGTATCAATTTTAAATAAACAATTACTGTTGATTGTTTACATTAAAGTGTATGGTGTCACATTTCTAAACAACGGAAATTCATATATAGGTCGCTATACGTTTATCGTCTATGAACCGATTTTCGCTCAATTTTGTCACGGATTCTCAGTATCATAGCAGCCAAATTTACAGTTTTTTAATCGTTATGTAACTCAAACCTTGACCCTCCTACCCCTACGGAACAGGACTGTAATGTTAAGCTAACTCCCTACCCTCTATTTGCACTACGTAATTGATGATTACGAATTAGTAGTTAAAACACATAATTTACATACTTTATTTATTTTCTTTAAGTAATTATGTATTTTAGATTTTGATACCATACTTCGAGATCCGGTTTATTGATACAGACATATTTGAACCAGATAGTGTTGACGTGACCAATGAACAACTGCAGACGTTTCGCCACGCATAGCATGTGGCATCTTCAGTACGTTCCGTATTATAATCAGCGTTGGTAATGAGTTTAGGATTCTAAATTTGTTCCGTGTCAAGTTTTGCCCTTTATCGTCGTGCCTGACATTTTCGGGACTTGTCGAATATTGATAGATAATTTAATATGTATAATTATAGAAGAAACAGTCGTTTTTTTTTAAATTGCTGACCAATCTTTGAAGATGTCCCGCGATTCTGAGCGTTACTTATTCATTTCCTGTTTTCTTGTCACATGCTAAATGCAAATATACATAGAAGGCAGTAGCGCAGTAGTTAAATATAAACAAAGTTGATCGTCTGCGATTGTATATAATGTAGTATCGTCTATAACAGATGTATTATTTGTAAACAGTATGTTTTCGTAACATAAGNAAAAAAAAAAAATGGTTGTCCCTTTACTTTTTTCTATCGTGTCCACCTATTCAGTTTTAGAAAAAGAAAATGCACGTTCAGTGTTAAATTTGTAGGTGTTCTTTCAAAATAATTATTGAGTATTATTATTTTACTCGTTATAATATACTCGACGTTAACCGTATTTACTTAAAAAAACAAAAAACGTTGTGTGCATACAAAAATTGTTTTTCACGTCTTGTTTCAAATCTGTGGAAAATCTATTTTGTTATGTAAGTCAATAAAAAGTTTTAATTTAATTGTTATCTAGTCTAGTCTATACACCTCTTTATTATACCCTCTAAACATTTATTTGCAGGTCAAACTTTCTAACTTCACTAAAATCAGATTATTGTGCAGGATGCTGGAAAATAACCTAAAAGCGGTATACAATTATTAATTCGGTATACTTTATGTAATCGGAAGTATCAATTTTAAATAAACAATTCTTATCATTTAATTGGCGTAAATATAGTAAAAAATTAAAAATAAATGCTGTTTATTGGTTATATTTTTATTATATGGCTTCGAAGCTTTCTCTCAGCATCCGAAACAATTTTCCATTTTTTGAAGAAAAGAATAGCTGCATAATTATGCTACGTTCATATTTAAAACCCGCAAACGGTGAGTAATTTATTGGTGAAGTTCAAATCAGCGAGTAATTTATAAAGGGTGCCAGAGATTTACAGGACGACGTTGAGGTGAAGAAATCTTATCTGTGGTCAGAATTTTGTATTTTTGACAAATAATTTTGAGGTTATGAATTTTACATTTTTATGTTTTATGCAAATTATGCGGTGTATAAGGATAAATAAGAGTAAAATAACGAAAGTAGCTTAAAAACATTTCTTTAATGTCCTGGAAAATAATGGCTTTTTCAGCATATAAAAGTTTTACAATTGTTTTTATTTTGGTTGTTTGCTTATTTGTTACAATTTCAAAAATAATCTTTGACGAAGTCTACAAGGAATCCAGAATAGTTATTGATGAAGCATTTCACATTCCTCAGGGTCTGGAATATTGCCGGTTAAATTTTAAATTTGTAATTATACCAAATAATAAGTGAGTGATGATCATTTGTGTAATAATTAGATATTTAATTTTTTAGTGGGATCCAAAAATTACAACACTTCCTGGTTTGTATATAATATCAGCAGTAATTTTGAGTCCATTTAATGCTTGTTCTGATTACTGGTTGAAATTTATCAGTTTTACGGCCACATTTGTAAATTATATTTTGTTATTTGCTATATTACAAGTAAATAACAGACATGTATGTATATAAATATTCAATTTCCTGTTAATATTTATATAATGTTTCTAGTATTCTTTAATTCATTTCCATTTACTTCCAGGATAAATGGAAAAACTTATTCTTGGCAACTAATCTGTCTCTGTTGCCACCCTTACTATTTTTTGGAAACTTGTATTACACAGATACGGTATCAATAACTTTTATCTTATTAATGATATTACTTTTTAAAATAGAATATATTATTCTTGCTTCAGTTATTGGTAAGTTTTTGTGTCGTTTTTGAGGCATATTGGTCATACAATTTTCTATTTCAGCATTATTTTCTGTAATTATGAGACAAACTAATATAATCTGGGTTGCAATGTTATTTGCTCATCTTTGTTTGGTAGAACTTTACACAGCAGTAACAAAGAAGAAACAAGTTGATTTAAGTTTTAGTGTAAGTTATTTATGACATAAAAAAGTTAATTCTTCAGCATATTTTACTTCTTTCTAGGACATCAAGTTGTTAATGCAACAATTGCAACAAAGAAAACTTGATGTAAAGAAAGTACCAAAGTCAATTTGGTGTAATATTTTGTCCTTCTTAGCAGTTTGTCTGAGTTTCGTTGTGTTTATCATTACCAATAAAGGGATTGTTGTTGGTGATAAAAGTGCCCATGTAATGACGTTTCATTTTGTACAAATATTGTATTTTTTATTATTTTGTTTAATTTTTACATGGCCATATTTTATTTCATCAGTGCTACCTTTCCTGTATCTTGTGCAGCAGAGGAAAGTTTTCAGCTTGTTGATTATTTCCTTCATGGGTGTAGTTGTTCTTTTAAATACAGAGGTTCACCCTTATTTGTTAGCTGATAACAGGCACTATACGTTTTATATTTGGAACAGATTTTATCAGAACGATGTTTTTCGTTACTTAATTATTCCTGCTTATTACTTTGGAGGATATTGCTTTTTCAGGTGTAGGATGCTGGAAAATAACCTAAAAGCGGTATACAATTATTAATTCGGTATACTTTATGTAATCGGAAGTATCAATTTTAAATAAACAATTACTGTTGATTGTTTACATTAAAGTGTATGGTGTCACATTTCTAAACAACGGAAATTCATATATAGGTCGCTATACGTTTATCNATTTTGAATATCCCCAAAAATTAATTTGGTGATATGTGTAAATATGTTGTTTTTGTTGTGTATTTTTAAGTTACATGTTCAATTAAATTGATAATAACCAATTATGTATTATTTATGTGATGTACTAATCGTGAGACTGTTACAGTGTATTTTTATTAAATCACATTAATTTATGACATCTGATATTAAAATTTTAAATATAAAAAGAAAATTGAGGGGGTAGTTTTCAAGTTTGAAAAAGTTGCTAGTAAATGCGTGTGTAGCGCTGTAGTCGTTCAAAATCAAAATATTGAGTTGTGTGAACTTGGTACCCAATATAAATAATTCTCTGGTTTAAACTTTACCAATAAATTGTGCGTCATGTGCGGGTTCTTATATAAATATCATAACTGTGCGTCCATTAGTTCTGTTAAAAAAAAGGAAAATTGTTTCGGTTTTTTTTTAACAAGTAATGGACGCACAATTATGATACTTACATATTTAGAACCTGGAAACGACGCACAATTTATTGGTAAAGTTTGAATCATTGGATTATTTATATCTGGTGGTAGATTCAAACGACTAAACTATTGTGCTTATGGAAAAACAGATCATTAACAAAGTGTTGTGTTGTTGCAACATCTATGGTTCTAACCCTTTGTGTATCTATTATCTATGGTTCTAACGAAGCTTAATGGTCTATGGCATACTGTAAGCATAGACATGGCATCGACGCATAGACTTGTCTATGACATAGACCGGCATAGACATATTAATCTATGGGCATATGGAATAGCGAACAGAAGAGTACGAAGCCGTCTAGCTAAAATAATCGTGTTCGCGGAGTTCGTTTCATTGGTTTGTTTTTTTATAACATGACAAATAACAATTGGAAGCATAATTGGTGTTGTATAGATGGTGAAAATAAGTGAAAGCCGGTTATCAGTGATTGTAAAATTCCTCAGGGTCTGGAATATTGCCGGTTAAATTTTAAATTTGTAATTATACCAAATAATAAGTGAGTGATGATCATTTGTGTAATAATTAGATATTTAATTTTTTAGTGGGATCCAAAAATTACAACACTTCCTGGTTTGTATATAANTCATTGGTTTGTTTTTTTATAACATGACAAATAACAATTGGAAGCATAATTGGTGTTGTATAGATGGTGAAAATAAGTGAAAGCCGGTTATCAGTGATTGTAAAATTTGTATACATAATTGAAAGTGTTTACATTTGTAAGACCCAACTATGAAGCAGAAGAACAGGTATTTGTATTTTGTTTTAATTTAATTATTAATATAATATTTAACCTTGAATTGGTGTAGAGCTTAAACTAATTTTCTGAAAAAAGATAAATTTTATCAAAAATTCACTTCGGTTCGGCTATTTATTGTTATTCAATAAATCATCATGCAAAGTGTAGACTTTACCTATCGATCTATGTGAATAAAAATTTGGTTTTAGTGGAATACCTATATTAAATTCCTGGTCTGTATAAATGTATCTTACAAGATTCTTTAAGTACAGCTGTTTCCTGATAATACAAGTCCGTTGGTTACATTCAAAATTTTTGAATCAACGTATTTATATTTAACAAACGAAGAATAACGGGAATATTTTAAGAACTTACACGATTGCTAGTTCTGATTAAAACTAAAAATTATTTAATTACTGTCTAAAATATGGTAAACGTTAAGTGAGAAGACTTGTAGTGTTATAATTAGCAGATAAATTTTCGACTTATTTTATTGTTTTCTTGCATGTCTTTAAAATACTGAGATACAATTAAAAACACATGGTTTTGATTCTATAATTCTTTTATATTGATAAACAAAAAATATATCGTTTAAGCTAATTCGTAAGTACACTGTGTACAACCAGAAGTTGTTGATACAAATTTTTCATTTTTTTTTTGTTAGATACTGCAATAAATAGTAATTTCAACAAGCAGTATCATTTTATTTCACGCTTCTGTAAATTTTAAAAATATGGTAAGGTGCTGCGATGCGTATAAAATACAACTCCATAGCAAATGAAAGTCAAATTACGTTTAAAAAATAAAACTGGTAATATAGCAAATAAAAAATAAACACATGTACACATGCCGCTGACTGTAGACAAAATTAAAACTAAAACTTCAATAAAACGGGCGGTGCGCATTCAGAATGAGTCATTACGTAAATTGAATTATATTTTGTACCTACAATTGCTTCGAACAATTACAACAAAGGTCACCATCATATTAAACCAATTTTACCTTCAAAGTTGCACGCATTATACATTTACATAAGAATTTTTGTGTGGATTGTTTACCTGATGTCTTATGCTTTAATTAAAATACTTATTACTTATTAGGTATTTCTGCACTGTTAGCCCGTCTTTCGTGTTAATAAATTGTGTATACTTTTGGAAATGTTTCCCATTCTTTAAACATCCGTAGATGACTTAAATAAAATCTAAATTTTGCATGTTTGATCAATAGTTTTAATTGAAACTAACGAATGATCATTTCAGGAAGATGAGTATGCTGCTATGTTTGATAGTTTTGGTGGCAGTTTGCAGTGCGTTTAATGGAGAATTAGCTGAACTGGAGTGTCCAGACGATTGCGAATGTCATTATTTTAGAGTAAACTGGGTTACAGATTGCTCAGAAAGCAATTTAACTGAAATACCTTATAATGAACTCAGTCCAAACGTTTATGTTTTGGATATGAATTCTAATTTAATAAAAGAGCTGAAACGGTTTCCCTCTGAAATAAAATTAAGACGCTTGCAATTAGCCGACAACCTTCTTACTAAAATAACTAAAGATCCATTCATAGGCTTGAATTACTTAATCGATTTGGATCTGTCTCACAATCAGATTAAAACTATAGATCCAGATACTTTTGAGTAAGAAAAATTTAATAGTTTTGTACACTTATATGCAAATGATTATTTTTTATTTTAATTTTGTTTTTAGGGAGATGAGAGGACTTTTAACGCTGGAATTGCAAGAGAATCCTCTAGATCCTGTAGATGGCCCCTTTTTATCCAGCAAGTCGTTAACTTATTTGGATATTAGCAGTTGTCACATAAAATATTTAAATCCGCACTTTTTTATTAATTTAACAGCACTTAGTACCATAGATTTGTCTAATAATCCATTGAAAGCAATAGATAATGAAGCTTTTGCTCCATTGACTGGTTTAAATTCGTTGAATTTAAATAATTGTAATCTCACATTTATATCTCCTAATGCTTTCATGGCACAGGAAAATTTGAAGAAATTGGAACTCGGAGGGAATATGCTCGTAAAATTCGATTTCCTAGCAGTTTTCAAAAATTTGATTAGATTAGAGTACCTGGACTTAAGAAATTCTCATGTTACAGATTTACCTCCGAATACATTTGAATATAATACATATTTAAGAACTCTAATTTTGGCGGAGAATGACTTAGGATATTTGGACGTTTCTGTTACAATAGGAAAGCATCTACACGAACTGGATACACTTGATTTGTCGTTTTGCAATTTGCAAAATTTGCTTTCTGAAGATGCGTTTTCCAATTCAACAAAAGTTCGTGTTCTGAATTTATCTGGAAATTCATTGTTCGCTTCTGATCTCCTAGTTGCCTTAGCACCCCTTACTAATTTAAAGAAATTATCATTAAGTAATTGTGGTTTAAGTAAACTTCCTGATACTTTTGAGAAATTTAAGGGTCTTCAAGAACTTGATATATCGCACAACCCGTTAAACGACGTTTTCATTAAATTGCTTTCTCCATTGGAGGCGCTGGAATATCTTAACATGGGCTACAGTAATTTGTCGTACATATCTCCTACGACATTTTCAAAAATGACTTCCATGAAAAGACTAGTTCTTTCTGGAAATGATCTTAATTCGTTAGAAGCGGGCTTGTTTGGCGGATTAACTCAATTAGAGAGCCTTGAATTAAATAATTGCGGTCTCAGAAGACCTCTTAATGCTACGTTGTTCTTTAATAATTTAACGTACACAGGATTAAAGGAGCTGCAATTGGCAGGAAATCCTCTACAAGTGGCTAAACACGGCCCACTACTTCCAAAACAGTTTTCTGAATTACTCAGTCTAGATTTGAGCTATTGTAATTTATCATTTCTTCCCCCAGAGGCCTTTTTCTGGACTAGAAATTTAACACATTTAATTCTAGCCGGTAATCGGTTCAGTTCAACGGAAGGTCTTGCTTTTCTCGAACTTCTCCCCAAACTAGAAGTGCTGGATTTGAGATTTAACAATCTTTCCCGATTTTCTCCAAAAGATATAGCAGTTAATTCTAATATTCAAAAGTTAAAACTTATCGGAAATCCTTGGATTTGCGATTGTTCAGTAGCAGACCTTTGGGATTGGGCAAATCTTGAAAAAAGTAACTTAGGTGTATTAGAGGGATCTATGTTGAATATGGAAGATGTCACGGTAGGAAAAACCAAGAAGAAGAAGTTACTACTTTGCAGTTACGATTCTAAAGTGCCCATGCCAATAATCGTTAATAAAACAGCAACCGGAAGACGGCCATTCCAAAATCATCGTCTCTTGGTATCTACTAATAGAACGTGGGCAAAATATGTTCGAGAATCTGGTTGCGATCAAAAAATTAGTCCCGTAAGAGTGCCGAGATCCATAAAATATGTTATTGATGATAAAATTGTTTTAAAAACTGAAACTGGCCCAAACACATGGATATATCCTGCTTTATATGCGTTATCGGCTTATGTTGCAATTATGGCAGTTGTTGCAGTTATTTACCTTTTAAATTACAAGAAAAAAGGTTTTCACTACCGAGATCAAACACATAAAGACAGTTAGGCTTGCAGCTTCTGCTAATCTATCCATTGTCCAACAGTAAATTATTAAAAGCAAAATAATAGATACAATGGGCTTCTTTTTTACCTTTTATCTTCATAAATTATTTATTTATGTTTTTGGAGGAAATTGGGGTAGATTGAGATCGCCTCATATATACACAATAAACATTACACACATAATTATTCTAATATAAAATATTACCTATGAACTTGAATTCTGATATAAAACATAACAGTGTATGAACACTATTTTCTTTGAAATTTTACAGGTGATTTAGATGTATTTTTTGAAGCAGTAGATTTTTTTAGTTTCTTATAAGACTTATTGCAAACAATTTGTTTTTATATGTTGTAAGAAATAGATGATATGTAACAATTATAGCGATTATAGTAATATAAACCAAAGTTTGAAGGTGGCTAAAATATGAAACCAGCATAGATTGGACTGTTTTGTTAAGTGTACGTTAATTTTATAAAATTTTACTTGCTTGTTGATTTTTTTGTAAAAAAGCGCGATAGTCTGTACTAATAATTTATGATTTTGTAAAATAAATAATAAAGTAAGCATTGGTTTTTATGTTGCAACACACTAGGGGGTAGTTTGGGGAATATTTTAAGATGAAAGCACGTATAAAAAGTTTTATTATTGTTACTAAAGACATTGTTTATAGGAAAGTAACGCATCTGTTTTAAAAATTGGTTAATGCTTAAAACTTCTATTAACTAGGTGTAGTGGGTCATTTTGATATCGTGCAAAAAGTTCTTTTTTAAACGTCTGAAATAGTTTATTGTTGTGCGAATTTTGCTTTTCTCTCCAATAAGGCCTACCACGGCGGTCTTGAAGACCCCAGTGGACTGCAAATATAGGCGTCACTACTTGAAATTTGTATCCCGCTACGTACATTTCATATACCTGTGAATATGAAAACAATTTTTATAATGCATAAATAAAGAGAGAGTTTATAATACTTTCTCTGAGAGAGTACAAACTGATTTCTGTTTGGTCCCGTGCTCTGCCCTTATATGTATTTGTAAGGGTGGTATGGTGTTATGCAACCCGTTGTACAAGTGCGAGTGAGTGTAGTCTATACTAACTTACTGGACTCAAATATTCATTTTCACTCTTACTAGCAAGACTGTGAAACATTTTTTAAAAGCATTTTTCTTTATTTACACCTAACTTATTACTTGTTAGGTCGTACCAGTTGTTAAACTAGCTTATTTACAGTTTACTATGAAAGTATTTCGTCTTATTTATAGTGATAATTTAATGATAGTGTTTTGTTCCTATTAGTTGCACAAAAACAAGAAAAATACCTAATAAAGCATAATTTTAAAAATTTAACAAGCCAAACGATCGTTGACCAGTTTTAACAACGTTTTCCGGTTTTCTTACATTGTATTATTTATGAACAAGTAATGTACATACATACAGGGCGTACCTAATAAAGTTTTCTTATCGGAAAATTAAAAAAACCATCCGCGCTCATTATCACATTTTAAACTTTGCATATGGGAAGCGGTAACAATAATCAATATATTGTAATTTTTTATTACCTGAGTATTTCTAGTAAAGCCATAGCCAATAAATCGTTCATCGTGTGGAGGCACGCTGTCTTTCGCAACATAAAAAGGTTCGTAAAACATTTCAAAATTTGTAACAGGATGACTGACGCGAACTGTTCCTTCTGTCGTATCTTGTTCCCACCTAGTTAAAACCTGTATAAATATTTTTAAATCAAAATAAGTATAACCCATATTTGGGCTTAACTGGAGAATTTTTATCTGATTAATACAAGGTAAAGTTAAATTAACTTGCCTTGAAAAATTAGTAGCATACTGATTGTATATAAAAACCTTTTGATGAAAAGGTCTTGCCAATTGCTTTTTAGAGAGGCGTACAATTTCACTTTTATTAGCCGGAAATGACACTCTATTGTCAATTTCGTATGTAGGAATGACAAAGCCACATTTGTCGCACTTATCTGTTTCAAGGAATTTATTCAACTTTTCTGCCATATTATTGCAAGGTATAACATCGACATCTGTTAGAAAAACGTACGGTGTAACGCAGTTTTTTCTCGCTATATTTCTCATATGGTTTTGAGGATAAGGATTTGTAGTCCTCCATTTCTTTGTACTTTCAGTAACTTTTTTTAAAAGAATATTTAACATGTCATCTTTATGTACACAGTTTGTGTCTGAAAAGAAGTTGAAGTCGTATTCTACAACGGTTGGCATTCGGTCCTTCGGTAAAGCAAAGTGAAATGAGATTTTTCTTCTAACGTTAATGTTACATTTTCTTAAATATGTTATATATAGTAAGGCTAAACTTAATTCGTCATTTCCCGCACAATAAATGGCAACTGATATAGGACCACTCCATTGTGCAGCAACTTCTTGAAGAGAAAATAATTTTTCTAGAGAACTTTGAGTAGCCAAGCTAACTTTGTAAGTAGTACTCAAATTGTAAAAGTGATCTCCAGTAATTACATTATCAAACAATTTATACAAAATTTGATTGTCCCATCGCCCAGCACGCAGATCAAATGTGTGTCTACAATCAATTTTTGCGGAAAATTGATTCTCTCCAATAACTTCCTTTTCGACATAAACTAGTTTGGACTCTGTCCTGTTCTGGCACGTATTGGAATTATGGCTTAATGTTAAAATGACACTATAAATAACAATAATACAGAACAGTATTCCTCGCAGTTTCACACGACGTGGAGCCTTAAGAAAAAAAAAATGAATATTAACTAAAATTTACTTTCATTTACTTCAACTAAATAATAACTATTACATATACATATTTATATTGCAGGGCAAATGAATAATAAAAAATAATAAGAAACATATACTTTTTTTGAATCATTTATATATCCTAACATAATCTGATTTTAAAACAATATTATTGGAGTAATGTAAGTTTGTTCAACTGTTGCAAAGCAAAATGAAATAGTCATAAATGTGGATTTTAGAAATATATTTTAAGAGTAAAATTTTAATAATGTACGTATGGGCTTACTTTGAATGTACAATAAAACCATTTCAGTTATCTTAAAACGGATTGAGTGATTAATTTAATAGAAAATAGTGATTTTTACTTACGTGAGTCATTCCAACGATTTATATCATCTTTGTTTAAAACTGAATAATTATTATCGCAATTGCTTATCATTATATTTGGATTTTTATCTACATTTGTCAACTAACTACCTATTAGATAAATATAATTGCAAGTGCTTCAAAACGGCAGATTATTTGCGCAGAAACATACTTATTGATTTGAAATCTTCTACCTTCTTATACTGTACGTTACATATATTACTTTCACATCCTACCAATTTTTAATAAAAGAAATAGAAATTTTAAAAGATTGAACTACATCATCACATTATTCTTTTAATTAAAAGAGCTTATTACGAACTTCGAAACTAATTTTCAGAAAGCTAGTTCTAATTTTTTGTTATCAATAATTATAAAAACGGTAAAAAAGTTTTTTGAAAATTCCTGAATGCTTTAAGTGACATCTTTTGTTAACTGAAAAAATTATTCTTGCCGTAAGATTATTAATTTAATTTTTAATTGTTTTTGTTTGTTATGTTGTGTTTGTACTTCTATGTAGCAATAACCTGTGTTGTTTTGAAGGTCATATAAACGTATAATAACGAATATATTTACTATTAGGGTAATGCATATCCAAATATTTTTATAATAGTTTTCATCACTGCAATTACGTACAACAGATTTAAACCTAATGCATGTCTATTAAACACCGTTAGTTTTATTTTTTTTTAAATTATAATTGCACCCTCTAATTGTTTCGTTTTCATTCTTTTTCAGATAATTTATAAAGTGAAAATATACTGTTCAGTTTTATAGAAAAAATTCTTATTAATTCTTATAAAATTTATTGAATTTGATTGAGTTACCTATTCCAATTTTATTAAATACTAAATTAATTAAGCAACTTAAAATGTATTGTTATTTTTTAAGGAATCTTCTTATTATGTTTATCAACGCATGATAAAGTAAGAGTTCAAGAGTTCATTATTATTTGATAATAAATTAACTAAGAAAGGGACAAATAAGTTCAATTGCTAGAGATGTTTAAGTTTATATTGGTCTTTCTGTTAATAAATTGTAACTATGGGAAATACCTTTACCAAACGAAGTTTTTATCTGTACCAGTAGATCATTTTAGGTATGTTTTATATTAAATTGATTGCAAGGTTTCATAAAAATAATTAAAATTATTCTTTAGCTTTGCAAATAATGCATCGTTTAAGTTACGATATCTTATTAATGACACGTATTGGGATTCCAATGGCCCAATCTTCTTTTACACGGGAAATGAAGGAAACATTACGGTTTTTGCGGAAAACAGCGGTTTCATTTGGGAAATTGCAGATACATTTGGAGCTTTAATAGTTTTTGCCGAACATCGGTAACATTAGATAATTTAGTTGATAGTGGCGTTAAATAATTATTTTAATTTATTTTAGGTACTATGGGGAATCGATGCCTTTTGGAAACAAGTCATTAATAAATAATTCCTATTTGGGATATTTAAGTTCGAGTCAGGCTCTTGCGGATTACGTTTATTTAATAGATTATCTTCAATCAAATAAGAACTATGCTGATTATTCTATTAGAAATCCTGTCGTTGCATTTGGTGGTTCATATGGTGGTATGTTAGCAGCATGGATAAGAATGAAATATCCTGCATTTGTTTTGGGAGCCATTGCATCTTCGGCACCAATTTACCAATTTCAGGGACTTACTCCTTGTGAAACTTACAATGACATTTTAACTTCAGTTTACAATGTGTCTTCCAATAATAATTGCCCTTATATTATTAAGAAGTCGTGGCCAGCTCTTAGGTAATTAAAATCATAAATTACATGATATTTGACTAGGAGCATAGTCAGGGTGGGTCACACCTTCAGTTTCGTGATAGTAATAGTATATTACGCATCTAGGCAGGAAACGTAAACGTACCTCAGACCGCATCTTACTTTCCTCCCCTGGTGCATTTGCTACTTCCCCTCCCCTCTTGATCAGAAGTTGATTTTTTTGGGTATATAATTTAGCAATAGTTTTGGACAAAGTAAAATAAATAAAACAGAGCATAATTTTACATTAAGCAAAGCGTCTTAGTTTATGTGAAATTAAATACTTATGGTTTTAAATTTATAAAGTGAATCAAAGAACATCCATACTAAATAAGAAACTTATCCATTACATGCCTAACATGTTTTCAAAGAATATAATTTAATAGTAAAACTTAAATTTGTATCTAATGACCTGTTGGATGTTAGCAAATCTTTTATTAAGTTTAAATTTATACATTTTTGTTTATGATTATGATGAACCGTTTACACAATCTATAAGTTTCTAATATCTAAAAAGCTGGTAGTTTTTTGTTACTTGATGCTAAACAGATGTGTTGTAATTAATTAACTAATCATTGGAAATAAAACAAACTAATAATTTTCTTCACATTTCTAGACAGGTTCTTTCTTCTCCTAATGGAACCGAATGGCTTATTTCAACTTGGAAACTATGTAGACCAATACAATCCAAAGAAAGTATTGATACACTAATAATAGACTGGTTAACAAATGTATATAGCAACCTTGCAATGGCAAACTATCCATATCCAGCTAACTTTTTAGCTCCATTACCAGCATATCCAGTTAAGGAGTTTTGTAGAAAACTAAAACTTGAAAATATTAATAACATTACTTTATTACTGACAGATTTAGGAAATGCTCTGCAAGTATATTCTAATTTTACTGGTAAAAGTGAATGTCTTAATATCAATTCATCTACATCGGACATTGGTGAAGACGTTTGGGATTACCAAGTAAGTTCAAATTAAACTTTTTAAGAAGTTTTACATTTGTTTTTGTCTATTAGGCTTGTACTGAAATGGTAATGCCAATGTGCTCTGGTAAGTTTGGTATGTTTGAAGAGGAGCGTTGGAACTTTACAAAGTATAGCGCGGATTGTGAGAAAAGATTTGGAGTGCCACCAATTAGGCCAGATCTAGCCATTTTGGAATATGGTGGCAAAGATATAAAATCGGCATCAAATATTGTATTCAGTAATGGTTTAATGGATCCATGGTCAGGTGGTGGAGTCTTACAAGATGTTTCACCAAATGTACGGGCTATACTAATCCCTGACGGTGCACATCATCTGGATTTGAGAAGTTACAATGAATTAGATCCAAAATCTGTTATCAGTGCTCGCAAATTTCATCAACAAGCGATACGTCACTGGTTAAAGACTTATAAAACAGAAAACTTGGAATTAAATAGTGTTAACATACAAAACAATTATGCTTAGTCAATAAAACAATATTTTTTGTACTGAGATTATATGTTCTCGAATAAACTGTTCTAACACGCATCCTTCATTTTATAAATGTTATAAAAATTTTGTTCATATGTAGGCCGCAATTTCTTCTATATTGATATTGTTTGGGGATGATTTAATAATTGAACAATTATAATTTAAATCTTAACTATTAACCAAATAGAACTAGTACCATACAATTCATTTAGCAGTTATAATGTTAAAATATTAAATGAAATATAACTTGTTAGATAAATAAATTTATTACTACAAAAACAAATTGTTAAAAATTAACATCATAATCTTCCATCTTTTTTGGAAGAATAAACCATCTATTTAAAATTCCAATGTCTACTATTCTATTAAAAAGTTCCATATTTGTTACAGCAAGATATTTATTTACAGCTTCTTCATTTTTGTAATCCTTATTATATTTATCAACCCAAATTATACATGCAATTCCAAAACTAATACGCCTTATTAAATCTCTGTTGTAACATTGCTCAATGTATTGTAAAAAATTAGCTGCTTCTTCTTTCTGCATAGAAGGTGGAATTAAACGAATATCATTAGCTGCTCTGCACAAAAAATTGAAATTGAAATTATTACAATTTAAATAATCTGTTATTAGAACTGTACCTTATCACAGCTGCCCTATAATCAGCTTCACTGGGATTACTTTTGAATAAATATGAAATGAACACAGCAGTTGAAACAAGTACTGCTGCCTTTATAGGTCTATGTTTTACATCTTTTGCAATATCAACAGCTACTTCTTTATAGTCCACAAAGACATTTTTCCAAAATTTTACCCAATTCTCTGTAAAGGTTCCTTCTGCCTTTTTTTCAATTCTTTCAAAGGTTGATTGGAATTTCGAAAGAAAATTGTTCACTCTACCTCTTAAGGAACTTCTGAAGTTTTCAATTTTAATCATACTCATTTCAGTAGTTTCTTAGTGTACTGTTGACTTACTGGGTAACGAAAAATATGAGATTTTGTAGATAAAATGTACCTATTAAAGAATAAGATGTTTAAATATAGAAAATTTTGGAAATTTAGTATAACTGGGAAAAGTTAGGTTACGTTTTCTGGCCATTCGGTTTCAATAAACAATTATAATAATATATATAATCCAAGTTTAGTACTACAGTTAGGGCACCCAACTGAAAAAGCGTTAAAATATACTTACGGCAGCAGGTCTTAACATTTTCTATTAAAAATGTTATTTTGAATACTACGATTAGCTGTTTAAATAATGGACAAGTTTAAATAAAATTTAAATAAATATTTACCTTCAATATGCATCTGTCATGTACAGGTACGTAGAAAAGGTTGTCTATGCATTAGGGGTAAAATTTGTGATTTGTATTGACGTTTAGGTTATAACGTGTGTTGTGCTTGCTGTAGTTGTACCTGAAGTTTTAAAAATTTTGAATTTTTCATAAAATATTGTAAAAGAAATATCAAAAACATACGCTCACAACAAAACGTTCCAGAAATAGTTGTAGACCATTGTTTTATATGGTTTAGTTATTAAAACAATGTTTCTTTAAACAGTCTGGTGTTTTGTCTTGTAAGGATAATAATTTTACAAAAATTAAAATGTCTTCAGATTCTGAGAGTTGTGCAAGTTGATTATTTGCGTTATTTTAAACAAATGAAGTTATTTCTTGTTAATTACAGAATATGGTGAAACAAAGGCCTATTTTACGTATTTGGGAAGGTGATTTTGGAGTACCCACAATAGATCCTGATTCTTTGAGAATTTGGGTATGTTATTATTAATCCAGTTATTTAATTTTACTTAAGTTTCATTTTGCAGACATATCTTAAGATAAACAAAATAGAGTTTGATGTTGAAGTATGTAGTTTTCCATTTTTGAAACCCATTCCCAGTCTTATTGTGGGTAGTAAAATCTTTAATGGTATTAAAACTATATGGGATAAATTGCAGAGAATGGTAGATAACATTTGCAGACATCATTATTTTATCATGGTTTAATTTGTATGTTATTTCTGATATGTGCCATTTTTTAATCAATTCTAGAAATCTTCAAATACTGACAAAAAATATAGTGTAATGGAGCAAAGTCGGATTATGGCATATGTGTCTTATGTTTTTGAATGTTTAGAGACTGCTACTAACATTAATCTGTAAGTTTTAGATGTTAATTTGTACTGATTAATATTGTCATTTATTTTAGTTGGGTTAATGAACGTAACTATATAAATTTTACCAGAACCTGGTACAGAACTGCCATTTATTTTCCTTTCAACTATATCCACATAAAGAAAATTAAGGATAGAGTAGATAAACACATAGCATTTTTAGCTAGAGATGTTTCTATTGAAGAATTTTCTAAACTTGTATGGATTTTGGCACTAACATATTAAATATTTCTTATTGTTGATCAACTTTTTAGGAATATGAGAAAGCCCAAAAATGTATGTCTGACTTGTCTGTATTACTAGGTGATAAGACATACTTTATGGGGACTTATCCTACAACCTTGGATGCATATGTGTTTGGATATTTGTGTTTACTTTTAAATGCACCTTTTCCTGACAATACACTTCAGAATATACTTAAAGGCTTTCCTAATTTGGTGCAATATGTGCACTATGTATCTAGAACTTATTTTCCTGATGTTAAAGGTTTGTGTTTTATAAAAAAGGTTTTCTTATTGTTTACTTAAAAAGCTTATTGTTAGAGGAAAACAAATACATTAAGAAAAAAACACCTACCGAAAATGAGGAAGAAGTTCCTACAAAAATGGTTGTAGTAGCGGGTATTTTTGCATTTACTGCAATGTTTGCATATGCCACAATGATTGGCCAATTTAAGATTCAGAAATGATTAGAACATGGAGACCCTAGTTAAAATTGTTTTTTTAGTTTGTTTTTTTTTGTTATTTTACGAAAGTGATAATGTTAATGATGTTATTACTTGTTTGAAGTAATATGGAATATGTTTTTGTTAAATTAAATTCATTCCCTGGTGTCATACTATCATCACACATTTCATTAAACACTTTTGATACAAATTTAATTTTTTATTTTATCTTTCTTACCGATATATTTATACTTCAATAAGTAAATTATTCATACAAAGAGATCGTAACCCGTTTTTACTGTTATAATGAAAAAAAAAAGTGACATAAGTAATGGTTTATTATAAGCTAAATAGAACATCACATTTACAAAAAAATTAGTGCTTTAATAACAACTCGGAAACAATGTAAAAATATCTTTGAGAAGCAGAGTGCTACATACTGATATACTAAACTACAACATACATAAACCAACTAAACTGTAGTAACAGACAATAATCCTATCATTTTGCTATTTGGGTTTGAGATCATCTTTGGACCGTGAACTAGTACATCTTGAACAGTTGTGAGTTCGCCTTCTTTATGCCCTTTCTTGTTTTTGTGTTTTTTCGTGGGGTCTGCCGAGCATGAAGCCTTTTTACTTGTGGATGCCAATTTTTCATTTTTTCGAACTTCAGTATTTTCGACATATCTAGACGCCAGTAAAATCTCTTGTCTTTGCTTTCTTTCCCTGGATTTTTCTAGGTGCCTTTTTCTTTCCTCTTTTGTCCAATAGCGCCCCACCTGAAATATCGGAGTATAGAGAAAGGTGCCAAGAACATGGTTTTTAAATGTTACTTTCAGTTCCGAAATTGTATCGTCTTCAGTTGTAAGTCCAGCTCTGTCTTCCGAAATTCGAATAGCTCTGTTCTTTAAAATTCGATTGCGGATCGGTCTTCGAGCAATGTACCTGGTACCGTCAGGTCTTCTTTTAACTTTCCATTCCATTTTTGTGTCAACAGTTGCGCTGGTTTGTAACTTTTTATGTGCCTGAAGATATTAAAATAAAATCATAGTAAAATGGAAGTTTATTAAAATAAAAAAGTAATTAATAATTGAGAAATACTTACGAATTGGGTGTGTGAAAATTGATATTGGCTTAGACTAGGTGAAGTAAAGCTAGTAGTTGGTTTGTTGCTAATGTCTTGATACCCAAGAGCTTGTCTAAAAAGCTCTTGCTGAAGCAGCATGGTTTGTTGAAGATTAGCTATATTAGTGTACATGGTGTCTGACAATAGATGTGCTGGGGGTCGTTGAGTTGGTGAAGAGGGACTATTCTTTGAACTAATGGCTTTGGTTTTCTTTTTTTGGGTTACAGCCTGCGTTTTGCAAGTATCACAGTTTTCAAACATTTCCGTAGTTTTCATGGTAGCTTTTTTGTCTGCTGAAGAACATAGAATTAGTGTCGACCTGAAAAGAATACTTTTTTAGGTTTTTCCCTTACAATAATTTTTTTTTTTTTTTTTAAATTTTTTTAAGTAACATTTCCTTTTTGCTGTCTATTCTTATTTTAGCGGTCAATACCTGATTTTTAACACTTAATAGGAAGAATAAAAGTAATTATGTTACTTAATAACATGAATTGATAAGTTTTGTCTTATTTAGGTAAGTAAAAAAAAAATATTAAACTATTTACAGATTTTATCCAATCACTACTAATTCTGCATTGTGTGTTGCATATAGTAACGTCCATGATTTATTGAAATTATATACAGGGTTGATGAAAAAAAGAAACGCGTCTATACAAACAAGTATAAAAGTTGATATTTGGATAAATATTTCAGAAAATAGTTTAACTACCTGTAAGTTTCAGTTTGTCGAGGATCAGCGTAACAACCGAGTTCAAACGTTAAATGGTTACTATTACTCGATCCTCCGGTATTATAAGCACTAGAACTATTCTCATGTTCTTCGCTGCTGTTACTTTTACTTGATTTACTTCTAATTTGACTATCTTTTATTTTGGCATCTCTCTCTTTGCAATCCCGAGCCTGTGGATGCGGCCAGTCAGTCCCCTTGGTTACTAACCATTTCTTTAGTATATTTTCTTGATCTGGTTCATAAGGGTAGGAATAAATTGGTTCTAAATCGGACTCTGGAATGGTTTCGTAAATGTGTTCGGTATCAGAATCTGGTAACAGTTGTATATTTTTATGCCTTTCCGTTCTAATTAATTGTATGTTTTGCATACGTTGATCAAGTTTCGATATTTCATTGCTGATTGAGTCGATTTTTGATCGTACTAGGGAATTTGTGAGATTCATATGAGAGTGAGGAGGAATAGTTGGAGCTGGTTCATTTGAAGCGGAATGTTGTAAAGATTCGAGTTGCTGTTGTTGAAGAAGTTGTTCAATAAAACTGTTCTGGTATGGCAAATTGCCTGGAGATTCTTGATTTTCGTCGCCTTCATCCTCGTTCTAAAATAAGTTTTATTATTATTGATTGCGCTTAAATTTTATTTTTTACTAAAGGGTAAATATTGGGCGGGTAAAAAATTAATAATTTACCTGATTCATACATCGGCTTATTAAAAGCGTAACTGCTTTATTATTTTCAGCGAATAAACTTTCAGTTTCTTCCTTATTTGAAACATCTTTGCCATTGACCTATTAGAAGGCGAACTTTAGTTAGTAATTAAATTTCTAGAATGAGTAAACTTACTTGGAGTATCTGATCTCCTTGTTTTAATCTTCCATCCCTTTCTGCTACACTATGTGGTGCTATTTCCCGAATATAAACTTCGGTATAGGTATCAACTTCGGACCCGGAACTGTAACATACCGTTAATCCTAACTTTTCGTCGCTACTACACTTCCTTAATGTTACTTCCTGAAACAAGCGAAATCAGTTTTAATTGAGAAGATTGGATACAACTTTATAAATACGCAGATATAAACTTGAAGTTTACAATTTTTTAGTTGTAAAGATTGAGAGGTTTAAGTTAATAGACGTTTTGCTAGGATAACGAGAGGGAGGGATTGATTTCGTAAGGACTTTACTCAGAGATATTTTATCCATTCATCTTACAATATTTTTTGTTCGTGCTGGAGCAATTTCAGCGTCGTCCTTATTCGTTTCCAAAACATTTAATTGGTGCCCTTAGGGTCAGTTGTCGTCACGATATAAATTCTACTTTACAACGGCCTTGTTAATGTCAATTCCACCGTTTAACGTTTAAATTAACTTGGCGAGATTTCTGTTATTTATTGAACTTCTAATATAATAGAAGCGCGTTGATGACAGCAGATAAATCGGGTGTCTGGGAATAAATAACGGGGTTAAGCATTGTCTCTAGTTTGAGAGTGCTTACAGGATAAATCGAACAAAGTATGCTACCTAGTATTAGTAGGAATTAACGTGTTAGATCTGTTCCACTTGTGGAAATTGAGTCTAGCTGTCTTCTTGACAACAATTAACGAAATATCATAAAAAATAACGCGATTTTTAAAGGGAAATTATCGTATTTAAATGAACCGGGGTGAATTATTACGAAAATTATTATTCCATTGAAAAATAAATTGAATACTAGTTAGATAAAATCGCTGTACCTTATTGGTAATGTAACGGGGTGAAAAAGTACAAATTACGAAATAGAAATAAAGGAACCAGAAAAACACAAACTTATATTGTATACTATAGTATATAGTATTTACATATACTTCCAGCTATGACAAATTCTATCATTGGAGCACTTGAAGGGATTTTAAAGAAATTTTAATTCACCGATTATACAGTTTAAAGTATTCAGAAAGTTGGGATTTTATGGAAATTTGTGTTTCTAAAGACGTGTCATCCGTGAACTGAATAACGAATTGCCGTAATTTTGTGAAACTACATTACAGACTTTGGACCTTTTGCTTTCGTGTCAAAGAAAATCTGTGGAATTTCTACAAATTTCTAATTTCGTTTAATTCACCACCTTAAATTAGTTTACTTTTTATTAGGTATTCTGAAACTCGATTCGTTCAAAATTGTTGTAAAACCACAGAAATAAAATCACGTCTCTCAAAGAAATAAAAATCTAATTTAGAAAGCTTTCCAAATTGAATTTTCGAACAGTTCTAATAAATTTAAACTTTTTTTGTGGTTAAAAATTTACCAACTATTTTTCTATTTTGCTCGATCACAACTGTTGTCAGACGTCATTCGAATACATCATTTATTTTCTTAACGAGTATTTAAATTGAATGTCAATTGCATACAAGTTAGTAATCAGATTATTGACTATGTATTCCTAATACCTCATCAGATTAATTTGCGTCCTTGTCCTAAATTCTATAATAAATAGGACAACAATTGTAGCCTTTTAAGTGATACCTATACGATTAATGATACATAAAATTGACATAAAAAGTTGCTAAAGTAGTGAAAGATTTTTTTTATATTATCTTTCAATAAAAAATTGTTACAGAAATAACGAAGAATTTAATTTAGGCCTCAAACGTGTTCGACGTTTCGTTTCCTATCACAAGGGATATTTTCATGAATAAGACGCGGTTACAATCCAGAAATCTATATAGTTTTTTCAGAAGTAAACAGGAACACAACGTTTAAGTTACAGAATATATCTTCAGGTTGGACTCTCTTGATACAGGAATACGTATTTTTTTATGATCTCTACATATGCTGTCTTTTAAGTAAATTCCAGCTAGGCTAATTTGAATTTTGCTGAGGTATACTTGACTTACATACTTAATGTATTTATGAAATTCAGTTCTGAAATTTAATTTCGTTATAGATGTACTAAAACAGGTTGCTTAATTTTATTAGACGTAGGAACAAAAGATAATAGAAGGGTTTAATTCATTTATATTAAGATTAACGGAATATTTTTCATTTTATGGCTGCCTCTAATGTAAACAGTAAAATCTATTAAATATGCAAAAACATTTCTCGCTTAAATAGATAAGAGAAATCATTCATTGATAATAGAACAAGTATTCCCTAAATTGGAGAAAAACACATGGTCGAATTTAAAATGAGTTTTAAATGCATTGACTTACTACTTCTTGAATTTGAAATACATTAACAAAATGCATTCCCCTTTTTCGTATAGGTACGTTTGATTTCCAAAACTTTTTGGTTTTAATAAATAAACTGTGTAGTTAAATTTCGTTTTCTGTTTTATAATATTGAACGTATTGTTTAAATTTAAGCGAGGTGTGTTAAATACAAAGGTTTCAGCTTTTTCATAAGCTGCACTTATGTAGTTGCATCGTGATGTACGGTTTGGATGTTTAAAGAGTTTTTGTAGTTAATGAAGTTGAATGTTCGCCTGAGTTGGAGCAAAAGCTTTAAATTAATCGGATAAACAGATAAGCGTTCATGTGTAACATAAAAATATGTATACGATAGGTACCTAGACGCCTGCACTTGAGTAACTATTATCAATAAAAAAAATATATTTTACCTACATGAAAGTAAGCAGAAATGTGTAAAAGCATTTCAGACATTACGGAAATCATTTTTAGTGCGAATTTGTTTAGAAAAAAGGCGAAACAGATTTACAAGTGTGAAAGTTTTTAAATCTAGGTATTTTTAAATACTAACGATAATATCAAATGAATGGTGCATGTTCTCAACTTTATTAGGCAAATGTTTAATTAATTTAATAACGAATTTTTGTGCAAACTTTACCTTTCATTCATTCAAAGCTCTATAATAAACACAATACAAAAAGCTGCGCTGTACTCACCAAGTTTACGGTGTTTTAATCTCTGGAAAATTTTTATATGCATATTTCTAAAAACTAGAAAAAGGCGAAACAGGTTTACGGCAAGTGTGAAAGTTTTTAAATGTAAGTATTTTTTAAATACTAACGATAATATCAAATGAATGGTGCATGTTCTCAACTTTATTAGGCAAATGTTTAATTAATTTAATAACGAATTTTTGTGTGAACTTTACCTTTTATTTATTAAAAATTCTATAATAAACACATTACAAAAAGCTGCGCTGTACTCACCAAGTTTACCGTTTTAATCTCTGGAAGTTTTTTATATGCATATTTCTAAAAACTAGAAAAAGGCGAAACAGGTTTACGGCAAGTGTGAAAGTTTTTAAATGTAAGTATTTTTTAAATACCAACGATAATATCAAATGAATGGTGCATGTTCTCAACTTTATTAGGCAAATGTTTAATTAATTTAATAACGAATTTTTGTGTAAACTTTACCTTTTATTTATTAAAAATTCTATAATAAACACATTACAAAAAGCTGCGCTGTACTCACCAAGTTTACCGTTTTAATCTCTGGAAGTTTTTTATATGCATATTTCTAAAAACTAGAAAAAGGCGAAACAGGTTTACGGCAAGTGTGAAAGTTTTTAAATGTAAGTATTTTTTAAATACCAACGATAATATCAAATGAATGGTGCATGTTCTCAACTTTATTAGGCAAATGTTTAATTAATTTAATAACGAATTTTTGTGTAAACTTTACCTTTTATTTATTAAAAATTCTATAATAAACACATTACAAAAAGCTGCGCTGTACTTACCAAATTTATCGTGTTTTAATCTCTCGATGTTTTTTATATGCATATTTCATTTTTTATCGTGATATCATTACGAAGTGGGGCGAGGAACCAACTTTCTCTTTTTAGTAAGCTCGTAACTGTTCTGTCGTGAATGAATTTTTATCGGTTGTTGTTTATGTGTATTCCATACGTAATAGTGTGTTATTTAATTCAAGAAAATTGTGGTTATTTGTGTTGAAGTTCATGGTGGCTATTTCTTCCCAACCACATTCTTACGTTACATGTAAGTACATGATAAATATCCCATTTAGAACCTACTGAATATTAAGATCACAAGGATTTTGATAACAAAACTGTGTATTCACAGTTAAATTGTGTTTTATAGAGATGTTGTCTGTCTTTCATATTAAGCAAATTCTTTTGTTTATTTTGGATTACTTTCAAATAACCTTTGTATATGTTGTAATTGTAAAAACAAATTCCAGACAAGCGCAACTTTGATTGAACAGCTGAGAGTTGCGTATTTTATCAAATATTCTGTTTAAAACTTTATTAGAGTCGGTAATGGAGATAATTAAATATACCGTTAGATTACATTTTCAGCAATATTTTCGTATACATGAATAAAAAGAACATTTTTCTTCAATCCACTTATTTAATTTAACATTATTCCATAAACCTATAAGTATTTTTACTTATGATAAATATGTTTGTTTGGTATGCCATAGCCATAAGTTGTCAGAATTACTTTAAGGCAAGGAAATATCTTTATTATAATAGTGCATTTCAAATATAACTCATGATAAGAATGTCGAATTTCTCAACTACAGTATCTAATAGTTTTCAAGAAAAGGGCTGTGGCAGGGTTTATCAAATAAAAGAACTAAATATCTCAAACCCCAATGCCAAAACATTACACTAAGCGATCGAAGTAGCAAAGTCACCTTCTTCAGGCACTGAAAAGAAATAACCTATAAGCTTTTTTGTATAATCCATAAATTTGCAGAAAAGAGTAAACAAACGTAAAGTTGTGGGTATTTATGTAGATAGGGTAGTGAGGTGTTGTAAATTTATCTTTACTTTTACTTCCGGTAACGTTGAAGAATTAAGAGTAGGGTTGAATATGCGATCAAATATATTTCTGTGTTTTTTAAAATATCGCTGTGGAATCCCGTGGGAGAGCAAACTTATACGCCATTAAGAATATTGAACGTACGTCTTTCACATAAGCTGTACAATAAATGATATCTACGAACGTTTTTGTTTACTAGTTTGTAAAATTCTTTTCCAACAAGTTAGTTCTTTTGCTGTATGAAAATCCCAAAAGAGGAATGCCAATTAACTTTATA